AACTGCAAAGAAGGCTATGGGCCTCCTAGGACCGAACAGAAGGTCCTTCCTCTTTTTTGATGAGGAGCTTTTTGGGCGAGTCTTCGGAACACTTGTTCGGCTGATGTTAGAGTATTACGTCCAGGCGTGGTGCCCCGGATAAAGAAAGATTACGCAGTGCTTGAGAAAGTCCAAAGAAGGGTGACCAATCTAGTCAGCAGCTTAGGAGGTTTCCCATGTGAAGGTCGTCTAGATAGGCACAATCTTCTTCCCCTCTTTTATAGGCAGTACAGAGGAGATATGATCATGGTGTTTAAACTCGTCAGGGGAGTAGACAGTGCTCTTCAGATGTCTGACTTCTTTGAATTAGCACAACCGATACATCTACGCGGTCATCCGTACAAACTGAACAAACACAAGGCCAAACTATAAGTGCGGGCCAACTTCTCCCACTGGGTCATTGAAGACTGCAATAAACTTCCTTCCACAGTTCTCCTTGCTGAAAGCGTCGACACATTTAAAAGAAGACTTGATATTATTTTACTTACTGGTCATACATTTGGTAGACAACAACGGTTTATATAATGCATATATGGCTTTGAACCACATGCAAGATCTGAGAGCATCTATCTGTAAATAGGGTTTTCATAGGCTCTGCCTATCTCCCTTATATATACTGAATTATACTGAATTAAAAAAGAAGTTATGCATGTTAGTGTTCGTCCAACTTCTGCTTGATGTGGCCGGTTTTTTTCCAAAACATGCAAAACGTCTTTTGATGCCCACAACTTGACCAACGGATATGATGCTGACCACAACGATAACAGAACGGGCAGTATTGAGAAGGAATTTATGGTTGCTGTTTAGATATAAAAAAACTAAAAGTGTTCACCGGGAGAACACTAACACAGCTACTTAAGCTTTTGCTGTACGCGTTTCTGATGACTGGTGATATCACAAGACTTCTCCTTTGAGAAGACTCATCTTCCAAACGAATTCCTAATTTGGCTCTAAAAACTGCTAATGCAGAAGACAGCCTAATTACGAGGGCAACATAATAAATAAATAAATTGTATATTTAAGGCCCAAGGGGCCCTTTCATTACA